CCCTGATTTATTACATCTCATATTACATCCTGCTGTTTACACATACTTCTACATTGTCATGCTATTAGATTTCTTATTTTTTATAAGTAAAATTGCCAATGTTTATTTAAATCCTGCCAATGACTCTATATATTTTTTGTTGTTTCTGCAAATATGCTGTTAAAGGTTCCCAAATCGCTAGTGTCTTTTGCATGCAGTTTATCTGTTAACTTTGCCAACTCTGCATAGTTCATCAACTTCTCTTGACATTGTTCCTTTGATGGTATTTCTCTAATCTTCCAATTCTGTGCTATCAGAATTCTATGGCAACCCTATTTTTAGACCTCTTAGGGGTGCCCTTTTCAATTCTGTTTGTGCCCCTGCTTCCTAGCACTGATGTCAGAGCCATTAAAATGAGGCCCTAGCCCCCAAGTGCAGATTAACTTCAAATATTATATACACAAACCCTGCTTTATGAATTTTTTCCATGCAACGAACCACTTTCATGGAAACCAAGCCATATGTAATACAGTATGTTTCAAACCAGCTGAGAAATACTGGTTATTTAACTGTTTAAAACTGGAGGGAGGGGGTGAATAATTCTAAAAGTAATATATGTTGCATGTTTCACCAATACGTCTGGCTACAAAACCACTAGGAAAGCTATATGGTGACAACCTGTTATGGTGTTGAAACCTATTTAAGTTAATGTAGTGCTGGTGGAAAAGAGCCACGTATAAAGCTTTAAAATGCATTTAGCCAAGATGCAAACAACCTGAACTCTCTCTGGGGACAGAGAGCCAATCTAAACATGATGCTATATGAGAGGATTGAATTCTGGGCTATACCACTTCAGATTGGAGGTGGGGTGTTTTTGGGCGGTTTTGTCTGTTCCCCATATAGTTAACAACTGGGCAAAGTCTTGTTCTGAAACAGTGGGAAGAGTAGGATTATGAGTCATTGTATTAAATGATAAATTGTAATGCCTTTTTACCACATTCAGGAGACGTTTTAGCTTAAGATGCAGTAAACAACACTGAAGGTACTGATTGCAAGCTATTACAATGGCGTGTTCCCTCTTCTCCTAAACTCAGTCCCTAGAAAAACTAGAGGATGGAAATTAACGTACGTTTGATTAGATGATCACTCCTGTGTACCCCAGATATTATTCTGGGTTAGACATTGTATTTCAATCTTTTCTGTCATGATTTCATTAACCTTTATTGACATTCACATTAGTAAAACATGAACAAAAACAAAATCATTTCTCCTTCTGTGAGAGATGATTCTGCTGGTTTAATAAAAATCAAGAGACACACACTGCGCATTCAGTGTGTTTTCAGCATGCTTTCAAGGGCTTTGATGCAGGAGTTTTACTACATTACCAGAAAGCGTGTTCTCCTTCATGGAGAGCACGTGTTGCGGTGGGGGCCGCCAGGACACTCCAAAGTTGGGGGCGGGCTAATTGATCGTTGGCCACTGATGCGATTGGGGCTTCCCTTGTTCTTGGGAAGAAGTTAAAGTTGCCACTTATTGATTGACAGCCAGAAATAGTAAAACTCCTTGCACGAGTCTAGGGCTTCCTCTTTTCGCCCGTGCATCGGATTGCCTGTCCCTCCCTCCCTAGAATAGGGTTGTTCGCTTTGACCTTGCTATGCCTGTCATGGGGTCGTCTGCTTTGGAGCGGGGGCCTGGTAGGAATTTTGTCCATCTGGCTGATTGGCTGGGGCCATTTGGTTTTTGCCTACTGCGTAGCAAATCGTCACAACTTGTAAGGTTCGCCGTTAGGCATTGGTTTATGGTTTGGTTGGTTGAGGGGCATGGATTGGCTGTGCCTGCCCCTCTAATGCTGCTGCTGCAAGGGATTCCGTTAAAGGAATTGGGGGATAACTATTGTTTGTCCACTCTGTCAAGGGGGCTCGGGCCATAGCAATGAGCTCCTGGTTGCGTTTGGGGTGAGGGCAGGTTCCCTGCTCCATCGCTACCCCCAAGTGTATTCCCCCATTCTGACTTTCACATCGTGTGGAATGTCAGTCTGTCCCCCATGGTGGGGGCAGATAGTCGCAACCAATGCCTACGCAACCACTCACAAATTTGTATTTTAATAAAGTTGTGGCCAAAATTATGCCAAAAATCTTAAACAAAAACTTCTGTGTGATGTGTGAGTTATTGGGGTGGACCTGGGGACCTCGACACGCAAATAAGTGCCTCTGCTATGGATCTATTTATTAGCTATAGAAATCTGCTTCCATTTTTTTAAAGAACGGTGCAAAGTAGCTTAAAATGTGAAATGTATTTCTGGCAAAGGGAATACAGTTTCTCTGTATCAACAGGGCAAAATCTAGTTCTTACATAGTGGATGGAAAACTACCCTTCCTTGCACTGTTACCAGATTTTTATTTTTATTTTTAGTAAGAGTGGATGAGTTCTCTGGCTCCAGGGTAGACATGTGCCCTTCTTTAAAGAGTTGAAGGGATACCAGAGAACAGCCCTTTAAGAGAATAAATCCTCTGTTTGTAGCCCTATCTGGTCAAAGTCCAGCTTAAATATAAAGAACCATAAGACACAGCATGGACCTTCAAGTTGTCCGTCTATAGTTAGCTCCCTGACAGAGGCTGAGCAAGCATACAGTTCACTTGGTCAATTGGCTATTATTTCTGCATTTCCAGCTCTCTATGTAAATTAGCATACGCAAATCATATGCAGATTTGTATCCTCTTACTTTCTCTTTTTTCTTCTTTATTTTGGGAAATGTGCTTGAGGCCATCCTATCCAGCTTCAGCTTTGCATAGAGGAAAATGCACAGTTAGCAAGGAATTAAAACAATAGCAACAATTTAGGAAGCAATTTGTTTCTCTAAAATTGTTTTAACCTTGCTTTCTTTGAACATTGTATTTTTAACACAAGAGAAAACAAATCTAGCACTGGGCAGTCACTTCAGTGCAAAAGGTGAAGGAAATCCCAGCCACCCAAGTACCGGTAATTACATTTCACAAAATGGCATGTCCAGGAGCTGTCTTGGTCATCCTTAGTGACATCACAGACAACAACATAAGGTAACACTTGTGCTTCTGCAGTACAACCAGAATAGCAACATAGCAATGTGCTCTCTGGTGTTGGGTAAGGGTTGAGAACGGCACTGTGCAGTTACAGAGTATAGTGATCAGGAAAATTGCTACCCCAAAGGAAAATATCGGAACAGTACACACCTAATATGTGTAACTATTGCATATTTCGACAAACCTAGACAGCATCTTAAAAAGCAGAGGCATCACCTTGCCAACAAAGGTCCGTATAGTTAAAGCTATGGTTTTCCCAGTAGTGATGTATGGAAGTGAGAGCTGGACCATAAAGAAGGCTGATCGCCGAAGAATTGATGCTTTTGAATTATGGTGCTGGAGGAGACTCTTGAGAGTCCCATGGACTGCAAGAAGATCAAACGGTTCCATTCTGAAGGAAATCAGCCCTGAGTGTTCACTGGAAGGACAGATCCTGAAGCTGAGGCTCCAAGACTTTGGCCACCTCATGAGAAGAGAAGTCTCCCTAGAAAAGACGCTGATGTTGGGAAAGATGGAGGGCACAAGGAGAAGGGGACGACAGAGGACGAGATGGTGGCACAGTGTTCTCGAAGCTACCAGCATGAGTTTGACCAAACTGCGGGAGGCAGCGGAAGACAGGAGTGCCTGGCGTGCTCTGGTCCATGGGGTCACAAAGAGTCGGACACGACTAAACGACTAAACAACACAACAATTGCATATTTCTGTTGTGCTAAACTGATCTGGTGGCAATAGTCTTGAGTTTCAGGGATGCTGACAATGGTGAACCGGTAGGATCCTGGGTAAGCGAATGGCGCAGAAGTCTGAGTGAAGAGGCAAGGAATTTAAAAGCTCCATGAAGAGAAGATTTCCAAACAGCCTGTGGTGGAACTGTAACGTAGTCCTTTTCTGTATTCTGTTCTTCCGTTTAGAGCTGTTTTCCCTTTTGTGGAACACAAAAACTGGCTCAAGTCCCAAGGTGGACGTTTTACATCTGCTTTATTGAAAAGGGCTCCTCCCTCCATGTTAGGTCATAAATCATTTGTACTTTGGCTCTGCTTTCTCAAAACATTCTTTCTCTCATTCTGGGGGAGGAGGCCTGTCCTCAGATATCCAAAGTTTTAACACAGAAAGTTCTGGTGTTCCTTAGATAGTGTGTTTTGCACAATTTCCGCAGTCTGCTCCCATTTTTATGGCAATCTTAAGCCCAAGAAAGAAACAGCGCATTCTCCTCCTGCTTCAAGGCCTTTCCTCCCTGCTGGAATTTGACTCTATGAAAAGTGTTGATGTGCTGCAACTGTAATTCCACCACCACCCCCAATACAGTCCTAATCTTTCCCTTTAACCCCTAGAAGTCTGTGGTGATGACAGCTGTTGAAAACGACAACTGTCTTGTTGGTGAAATTGCACATTATTAACATCCTACAGTTTCTATCACCAAGAGGCTAATCAAACAGAGTTCTTTTCCCACAGTGTGCAGAATCCAGATGCTTAGAGAGAGATCAAGATTCTCTTCTGGTTCAGCCCTTTGCATTAAGGTCGTATTTGTAAGTCCGATAGCATCGCAGTAGGATTTAATATCATCTTTCTTGTTATAAGCCAAACTAATGGAACTAATGGAATTGGCAGACAGTGATATGAGCAGCGTTTCTTTTCAGCTTGGCAGTCTGGATCCTTCACTTTACTTTTGATAGGTGGCTGGGCCCTCCCACCTGTCAATCACCTGATGTCACAAGTCATGCTGCAAAGGACTTCCAAGGACCTCCAAGCACAGCTTGGAATCCCCACCAATCAGCTGAACCAGTAGGACTTGCATTGGCTCCAAATTCCAAAGGTATCAAATGCAAACTCCACTTGAAAAGGAACAAGTGGGAGTGTATTTCCAACCACTGATGATACCAGGTGATGGAGTGCATGATTGTAGCTTGTGGAAAACAGTATTGCGGGCCAAAATAGGACCCTTTATGGGTCTAATAAGCCCACAGGATCGCTTCTCTGCCTTTTGGCTAAGATCAAGTGTAGTATCTAATAAGCCCACAGGTCATAATGTTGTATTTTAATCTTGTTTTTAAGTTGTATTTCAATCAAATTGTTTTTATATCGGTTGTTGGCGGCCCTGAGCCTGGTCTTGGCTGGGGAGGGTGTGGTATAAATAAAAGTTATTATTATTATTTCCTGTTTTTCTTAGATTTTTTAGCCAACATAACCAAACATACAAAACATACAGGGGTGCTAATAACTTGGGCATAAAGAGAAATTGCATAGTGTCTGGAGGAAGACATTAGAACTGTGATAACACTTCTTAAAACTGCAACATTGTCTTTGGAATGTAATCTTGCAGCTGCCTTAAGGGATTTCATAGAAATTTGCTTGCTTTGTCCAAAACCTGAAAAAGCGAAAGAATCTTAATTCCATAATAGGAATTTGTGGTTTCTGTCAGACCTAAAAAAGAGGATTAAAAGAGCCAAAGGATGTCACTCAGTAAACCAAACTTCCCAGTCAATTCAATTCCGACATTAAATCTCTGTTTACTCAGTGTATTAGATGTAATATGTTTGTCAAACCAGCACCTTCTGCCTAGGTTCTGCTAAATCTCGGTTAAATCTGCTTTAAACTTATTTGGCTCAAGACCCATATCCACAATAGCTGTAAGAGCTGTTTGGCTTCTCAGGGTGTTATTAACTGTATACCTTTGTTGGTGTTTTCAAAACTACTGTCAGCAGCAGCTGTTCCTGTTGTCTGCATTAGGATAAAAGACTGGCAGATGCCTGCGAGAACATTTATAGAAATGATTACCATTCCTTGAGAACCTGTTGGCACTAGGTACTTCCATGAATGGTTACAGATTTTGGAAAAGTCATTGGCAGTCATGCTCAGTCCCTGTTACGGAGAGGGACACAATTTTACCCATTTCACATTTAAAGGTCAACCTACTGAATTTTCACTTTCTGAAACAATGCACAAACTCAAACACAGCCTTCCTTTGCAGTCGCAATTATCCAATCCAGCTATGAGCACAAAAATCCATATACTGGTATGCCACAACAGCAGCAAGAATACTCATTGCAAAGTATTGGAAGACACAAGATCTACCCACTCTGGAAGAATGGCAGATGAAGTTGATGGACTATATGGAACTGGCAGAAATGACTGGCAGAATCCGAGACCAGGGAGAAGAGTCGGTGGAAGAAGATTGGAAGAAGTTCAAAGACTATTTACAGAAATATTGTAAAATTAATGAATGTTAGAACGATGTTGGATAGAAATTAAGTGGTTTCCAGCTGTAATGCTTTAAGGGAATATGAAAAATGGGTTGTTAAGAGGTAAAAATCTAACGTTACTATTTTAAGACCAGAGATTAGGACAAATAAAGAGGGTAAGGATTTGCTGAACCAACAAACTGAACTGGAATACAAAAAAGGGAGGTATGAGGAGGTCCGGGAAACAAGCAAATGGAAGATAAGTGATTGAAAGACTGAATTGTTTTTAACTATTTTTATTTTGTATTTTTCTTTTTTTCTTTTTCTATTTTGTAATATTTTGAAAATCTTAATAAATATCTTATAAAAAAAATCCATATACTGGTTTTTGTAAAGTGTGCTTAAAAGTCCATGTATTAGCAAAAAGAACACAAAAAGTGTTACATCAATGGAAATTGTTTTGGAAATATCTGTATATTGGGCAAAATTGCATACAAACATGTATACTCTATTAGGAGCAGTTTGAGCTAAAATGCTAGTGAATGTTCACAAGGACTTAAAAGATTCACAAACTGAGGCTGAGATGTGGAGAACCCAATGTAAGACTGGGAAATTGAAAAACAGAAAGAAACGAAAAGTGATAAATTTGCCCGTCCCTAGAACAAATGCAAACTTTCAAAAAGCCATTGGCATGAAGATACCTTGGAAAGTTTTGCTCAGTGTTTATGCTTGGCCATAAATGGCCCTAATAGAATGCAATAAGAAACATGACATTGTTTTTTGTGTAAAGGATTCTTGGATGTACTTAATGGTTACCCAGCCCTTGGTCCACTCACCTCACTTTGATCATAGCTGTCAACTTTCCCTTTTTCTTGCGAGGAATCCTGTTCGGAATAAGGGAATTTCCCTTAAAAAAGGGAAAACGTTGACAGCTATGACTTTGATTAAAAACAAACAGACCCACAGCTCCCGCAGAATGTCCCACAGCAGGCATAGGCAACCTCCGGCCCTCCAGATGTTTGGGACTACAATTCCCATCATCCCTAGCTGACAGGACCAGTGGTCAGGGATGACACCTTGCTTGCGCGATTTGCCGATCTACTACCAAGCCAGGTTTAAGGTTTCCCTTTAGAGGATGACTACATAGGAACCTGAAGTTGTATTAAATGTAGCACTAAGGAGAACATTCCAGCAGCGCAGGGGTTTTCCTTTGCACAATGGAACATTCTCCCCACCATGTGCCCCCTAAATCTGATGAGCACATGGTATAGGGCAGGCTTCCTCAACCTCGGCCCTCCAGATGATTTTGGCCTACAACTCCCATGATCCCTAGCTAGCAGGACCAGTGGTCAGGGATGATGGGAACTGTAGTCTCAAAACATCTGGAGGGCCGAGGTTGAGGAAGCCTGCCCTGGTGCAGGGCATGTGCCAGAGGAAGGAGGAGCAAAGTTCCACCGCACTATCACTGTTACGGAAATTACAGGGGGGGCACATCTTTAAAGTTGTTAAATGTTACAAATATTATGCATAAGTGTATCCTTTTGACTTGACAGCTCAGGAAAGTTACCTAGCTTTAAAAATCATATAAAATCAACTCCTTTGCCAGTGACCTCCATTCCAACGCTATTTTGCCCTTGAAAAAGGGACTCCAGGAAGTGCCCAGAGCTGACAATTCCTGAGCTGACTGCTGGCCAAGGAAAGCTTAATCCCATCACCAGACTTGCCAAGGGGTCCAGACATGCAAAGGAAGTTCTATTGTACTTTGGGTGGTGGGACTTCAGAGGTGTTTGCCTACGCTAATCTTATACCCGGGTCTGGCCCTGACATGTCTGCTTATGCTAATCTTGTACCAAGGACTTGTCTGGACATGTTTGCCAAGGTTAAACTAGTGTAACTCCTGTCTACCCCTCCCCTTTCGTGACATGTCAATGATGTATCAATGATGCTGTATGAACTGTATTCTGGGATATGGTGGGAAAGTTTTAAAAGTCATTATCACCCCATCCTCGGGGTTCAAAATTCCTCTTTGAACCTGTTGTGCAATAAACTTTGGTCTACAGCTATTTGCTTCAGTTGGTGGCTGGACTCCTTCCTTTATTCCACAGGGACCCACGGGCTCTGCCCGGCGAGCTGGGTGACTGAGCAGCCTCACACCTAGATTTTTTTCGTAACAACCACTAATCCTTGCATTAGTGCAAATATTTAAATGAATACTTCCCACAGAGAGCTGCCTTGTACTGGGTCAGGCCAGTGGTCCATATACCTCAGTATTGTTGATAGTGACTGGCAGTGGCCCTTACGGCTTTCAGGCAGGAAGTTTTTCCAGCCCTACCTGCACTGAACCCAGAACTGCCTGCGGAAAAAGCAGATACTCTGCCGATGAGCTGTGACCCTTGGCCATGGGGAAACCATCTTTTTCTATAGGAAACTGTTTAGCATCGCTAAGGCTCCTTCCCTCAAACAGGCCTTCTGCCCTCCCAGGAAAGAGAAAGACCCCTGGATAAATTAAAAGCATAGGGAGTGATTCCTTACTGGATGGAGCCAACTGCTGGCTGTGTTGTTATTTAATCCTCTGGTATTTATCAAGGGGGAGGAGCAGTTAACTCCCAAATTGCAAATCTTCCCTGTACCTCTCCTGATAAACACCAGAAGATGAAGGGGGGAAAACCAAGCCAGCAGGAGACCATGACATGACTCCCTCTATCAGAGAAGGAATTTCCTATTGCGTTAATTCTCACTGTGGTCTTTCTTCATCCCAAGAGGGCAGGAAAAGTGAGGGTAGAGAGTCAATCAGTCCTTCAAAGCACGCCAGCTTCCCCTAACTTTTGAGATCATGGTGGGAACGAGTCATTTGGGATTCTAAACAGGCAGCTTCCTATATGAGCAACTGTAGCATGTATGTAGCCAAGCTCTGAGTAACTAGAGTGCAGTATAAAATCCTACATATTACGAGGCCCACGCCGCCAGGTTTCCTAGTTACAACATCACCATTACATATGCATAATGTAACATGAGAGGGAATGAATAAAAATAAGGAGCCCTTGCAAGGCAGGCTGTGCAATGGTTTTAAAGGCAATGCCAGCAGTTGTGGGTGAAGAGAGGGAAGGAAATGGTGCTTAGACACAGGGGTACCCTGTACTCATACTGAATGTGGTAAAGGAGGAACATAGAGGAGACCTGTCACAGCAGGAGCAATGACATCATCTGCCATAGCAGCATTTGCCAGTGCTGTAATTTGCAGGGTTCAAGGATAGGTCTGACCTGGCGCATGATCCCTTTGACAGGGAGTGGTCTAAGGGTCACCCACTCAACTTCATCAGGGATGTGGACCCAAATATTCCCCAGGCAAGTCCAACCACGGGACTGCCCTTCGTAGCTCACTATTCTGTGCCTGTCCACTGATCCTAATAAACTGGGTGATACGTTCTGTACTGCTGCTCTGTGGGATAGATGTGGATCGACACAAGTGATGTAGCTATGAACGCTCTTCTGAGGGCATTGCTGCCATGATGAGCCCCTGCACGACAAGAATTACCACTGGGTTAGCCAACTTGTGGCCCTCCAGGTGTTGCTGAACTATAAGTCCCATCATCCCTAACTACTGTGCCTCGCTGGCTTGGGCTCATGGGAATTGGAATCCAACATCTTGAGAGCCACAGTTGAGCAACTGCTGATTTAGCACCGCACCAGTGTCTGCATGTAGGGATGCGGGTGGCACTGTGGGTTAAGCCACAGAGCCTAGGACTTGCCGATCAGAAGGTCGGCGGTTCGAATCCCTGCAACGGAGTGAGCCCCCGTTGCTCGGTCCCAGCTCCTGCCAACCTAGCAGTTCAAAAGCACGTCAAAGTGCAAGTAGATAAATAGGTACCGCTCCGGCGGGAAGG